CCAGCATTTATTATTACTGTACATATTAGTTTTGTTTTGTTTTGTTTTTTTGTCTGTCTCTCTCCCCAATACAAGGTCTATGGGAACATAGATCTTGTTTATTTTGCTCATTTCTATATCTCCAGACTTTAGAATAGTATTTGGTACATAATAAGTGCTTATGAAATATAGGTTGAAGTATGTACTTATGAAATATATATTGAAGTTTATGTTGAATATGTTGAATGCTTGCATATTTATAGTTGTTTTATTTACATAAATGGTGTAGTACTACAAATATTATTCTATAACTTTCACTTAATGTTATTTCGTGTAGATATTGCCTTATTCTTTTTAATTACATGGCATTTTATAATGTGAATTACCATCATATGTTCAGCCATTTCTATTGTAGGCAACATTAATGATGTTTTCAAATTTTCAACATTTCGAACAATGCTTCAGCAAATACCCTTATATATATATCCCTTGGAGCACATGAGCCTGTGCTTTTCTGAATAAGTACCTACTAAATTAAAATTGTCAGGGTAAAATTATGCGCATCTTTAATCTTGACAAAATGCCAGCTTAAAAGGTCATGACAAGTTTTGGTTCTACTAGCAGCGAATGGGGGTGTGGATTCCCTATGGGGCTTCAGTGCTTTATTAATCATCTTTTAATGTCTTTCCAATCTGTGGGAGATAAGTGATTTTCCACTGTTGCTTGAACTTGGATTATCCTGATTTCTGTGAAGCTGTGCTTATGTTTTCATATGTTTATTGGCCATTTGAAATCTTTTTCTGTGAATAGTTCAGATAAATTTCTTGAACATTTTTTCTGCTAGACTATATCCCTTTTTTAAAAAAATCATTTATTTGTAATTGCATTTTATTCTGGATAGTATTTCTTTGCCTTTTTAAAAAATATTTTCTTCAATTCTTTTTTTTTTTGTATTTTACCTTGGTTTTGGTGCTTTCGTCATACGGAAGTTTTAGCTCCAGTATAGTCAAATACATCCTTTGTTTTTCCTCTTAGGCTCTAGTTTTGTATCTTGCTTGGAAAGTTCCTCCCAAGCTTAGAATTATAAAAATACCCTCCTATATTTTCTTTTTTGTGCCTTATCATTTTATAATCTATGATTTGCTCTCTAATCCATTTGAAATTTATTATTTATGATGTTTTAACACATAAATAAATAATAATAATATTTATTATTATTTATGATGTGAGACAGGAATTTAACTTAATTTTATCCTAAACATAATTTATAGACATCAATCTACTTAACTCCATTTATTGAGTAGACTGACCTTTCCCCATTTAGAATGCTCCCTTGATCATAAACTCTATCGGTATATATACATGGGTCTAACTATGTATTCTTGATTCCATTGTTTCCCAATATCCAGTCATTTAAATACTATCTTTGTTTCTGTTATATTCATGTTCCATTTATTTACTTAATATTTTATCATAATACATTTTAAAATTAAATACCTACTTTAGCCTCATCCTAAGCACACAAAATCATAGGTTTAAATTTTTTTTTCTAGTAAACATTAAAAAAAGAACTAAACTTTTAACATGACAGTTGCCTTTTTAATTAATTTAACAATTAACAATTGGAATAAAAGGTTCCTTTGGGAAACAACTTTTGAATCCTTTCCACTGATGGA